AGATCCACTACATGAAAGTGTTATCATGGGTTGAAATATTCGTCGGCTGATGTTTCACTTCTGTCCTTTACCTTGTGCTGATTAAGTTCACTCACCAGAAGAGCGGTCCCCACAGATGACACACAGTCGTTTCTGAGACAACATTATTCCCGGGCTGTGAGCCTGCATGGGCCTCAGGCCAAACGGAGGCTTGATGTCTTCTGAGCTGCTGACAGAGTGCATCCCTGATATAGGCGCTGACGATGAAATCTGGGTACGATTGCAACCAAATAAAACAAGGGAAACAATGTAACAATGTCATTATTTGTATGTAATGGCCAGACAGTATTTTCCACCAATTTGAATAACCGGAGACTAGGGCTGTCAAAATTAGGCAAAGAAAAAACCCAAAAACAAAACAAAAAACACTGTTTATTCCTTCAAAAATATCTTCAAATATCTAAATTATATCCACAAGAAGGCAAATTGATACGAGACTCATTCTTACTTTTGTGAGTGCATTTAAACTGGTCACTGGGAAAAAAAAACGCGTATACACCAAATGGATGACAAAAACCTGATGGCTGTTTCTAGATGAAATTGATCATGTGCTACACTAAAAACCTCCAAATTTTGAGTTCACACTATAACTTTGAGTTTCTCACCATCACCTATTCATGTATATCTACTAATTAAGGTATCTTATGTTGTTCTGATTTTTCCACATAATATGGCATAAGTCATGTGAACAGCGAAATACTAAGAGTCACAGCTACTGATTTAACAACTTTTACTCTGCAATATCCAGCGGTGCATCCTACACAGCTTATGACAGACACCATTTCTTAGTTATTTTCATTTTTTCACATAAATACAGAAATATTTTCATAATCAAATGCCCTTTTGTTATTAGCACTAACTGTGACAATTTTTGCTTACAACTGTTAGGAGCCATTATTCAAAAATGCCTGCCTCTATAAGTGGAGTAATGTAAATAGTCAGTAAAGTGTTTTTTTCCCCCCCACTACAGTGTACCTTAAGTGGCTGTGTATATTCGGCCCAGTTTAAACAAGCATCATGGCTCTCAGGCTACAAAATTAAAAATAAGAGTTAAGTGCACTGTGACATCAGTACAATACATACACCCTCATGCATATGAATTACCTGACTGTTGCTGATGGGTCCAAATCCCAGAGAGTGTGGCACCACTGGGGAGTTAAGTGAGGGACTGATGACTGAAAACGGAGATCCTAAGATGCTGGTGGGGCTGTTGGAGGCTGAGCTGTTAGGTTGCTGTGAGGACATGGCTTGTAAGCTGCCCGCTGAAAAGAAAAACGTCCCGTTCGAAGGATATCAATCTGAAAGTGATATAAAAAAAAAAAATTTAAAAAAGGAATATAATAAGCTATGGAAACCTTTCTGATCGATCTTGATTAAAAGATAACAGAGACTGACTTTGACAATTATTATTTTGAGCTAAAGTTGCCAAACATGATTTGGTTGCAACTTCTCAAAAAAAAAAAAGAGGAAAAAACGAGGGGGGGGGTGTATTTTGTTAATCATTACACATTTGGTGTCTTTCAGTTCTCAAATGTTGAGAGTTTGCCAAGATTACATCATTATTTCTCCCATTTCAGAAATAAAGTAGTGGAAGTCTTATAGCTGCGATTGCATTAAGTGGCAGAGAAACCAATTTTCCATAAGTGAGTTATATGGGCAGAAATCTGTGCCATCAGAAACTAAATTTGAATAAATTAAATTTGAATTGCTCAGATTGAATCTGAATTGTAACTTGAATAAATGCTTTTGAAAACTGAATTTGAATTAGTCTAATTTGAAATTGAATTTATGTTTTGAAAATGAATTGATTTGCTTTGAAACTGCATTTTATCCTTTAAAAATTCAGCTCTCGAATAATTTCAGATTCACTTCTCACCATTCAGTTTCATGTCTACAATTCAATTTCAGTTCCAAAATTCAGTTTTTTGGAACTTACATCCGGTTCCGGTTAAAGAGCAGATTAATAGAACTACATTTTACTAGCGGACCGAAAGTGTTACTGACGGGAATCTACAGCGTCTTGAGCTGAATTAAGACTTCAGAAGTCATTCGTCATGTCGAATGACCAGCGGATGAACTCTCAGGTTGGTAATAAATGTATTACATGTATAAGAACAAGCTTCATGTTAACAAATGATTGCCGTAAGGTAACTTTTATGCTTATTGTATCTGCTAGCTAAAAACGCTAATTTAGCGTAGTTTGCCCTGGATTCAGCTTTGACAAACAAATATGATCGACTGTTTCTAGTAGAATTCCAAAGTTGTCATCTTGGACCCTCTCAGAGTACCCCCTCTGTATGCTACAGTAGGGAAACATGCAAAACTGTGTCCAAACCTTTGTATTTTAGCTTTATTTATGTCTTACACAGCATCCCAACTCTTTAGCTAAAGTGAATAGTTAGTCTAATTCATTAGTGCAGCATTACTGGATCACCTCTGTTTGAAGTGATATAATATGATATAAAACTATCACTGTGTTTAACTACCATAATAATTCTTAGGGTACTGAGTGCATGCTTAATTAGATTTTTTTTTTTTTTTTTTTTTTAAACATACTGCTCCATTACTATGTTTGACAAGCTCAAGACGCTGTAGATTCCCGTCAGTAACACTTTGAGTCCGCTAGTAAAACGTAGTTCTATTAATCTGCTCTTGAACCGGAACCGGATGTAAGTTTCAAAAAACTGAATTTTGGAACTGAAATTGAATTGTAGACCTGAAACTGAATGGTGAGAAGTGAAACTGAAATTATTCGAGAGCTGAATTTTTAAAGGATAAAATGCAGTTTCAAAGCAAATCAATTCATTTTCTAAATATAAAATGCAATTTCAATTTAGTGATGATCATTTTCAAACTATAAATTCAATTTCAAATTAGACTAATTCAAATTCAGTTTTCAAAAGCATTTATTCAAGTTACAATTCAGATTCAATCTGAGCAATTCAAATTCAACTTATTCAAATTTAGTTTCTGATGGCACAGATTTCTGCCCATAGAGTTAGCTGGCCACGTACAAATCTATAACCATAAATCACTGAACATAAAAAGGTCCGTTTATTTAGCTAAGTTGAACTCAAAAATCTTCCCCCCCCAAAAAAAACAAACAAACAAACAAACAAATCAATCACCCCTCCTCAAAAAACTGGACAAATAAAAGGGAAATAATTCTCGTGGCAGGTAATGTTTGTACGTACAAATATTTGCTTACATTAATCAGTGTGCGTTAGCGTTTCATGTTTGCCAAAATGTTGCTAAAGGTACGCAGCAGCGCTACCGCCGAGTCACTATTAAGTACATACCAGACCTTACTAGAACAAAAAGCAAATACATTGTCCGTATTCTGTAAAAACTACAACGCCTAACTAATTACGACAAATACACAATGTCGGAGTTTGCCTTTATCGATAGCTCGTTAGCTGCAAATCTTCGGCTTCAAAGATCCATGCTATACAACAACATTAGCAAACATTAGCTTTGGTTTTCACACGTCTAAGTGATACTACCTTCTGTAGTTTTTTGTAAAACTGGGATATAGCAAACAGACCTTGTTTCGCATCTAAAAATGTTGCATAATAATCGACAGTCCGCAAATGAATCCGCTCGACCTGCATTTGCTAAGATTAGCTTGTTAGCTTAATTTACGGCTAATATAGCCAACATTAGCTCGATGCTAGATTCAGGGGTAATACCCCAAGGAAGCGACTGTTCACAACTACCTCATGGTTGTTGGAAGGTTGGAATTACATACCAGACACACCTTCGAAGCATTGTTGAGAATCACTTCTAGATAAAGGCCGAGTCTCAGACACAGTTTGCTTCGGTCAGAAGCTGTTGTTGTTTACAGGCCATGATGGCTCAGTGCCACAATCGACTTGAGCCAAAATGTCCCACGGGACCACCCATAACAGCACCGTCATATGACACCCCGCTGCAGAGGTTCAGCTTGATTTAGTATTTAATCACAGCTAATTTGGTTGGCGATTATCGCGTCACAATTGTATGCAGTATTTGAGTTTAAATAATATCTATCTTCTCAATATATACTGTTATCAAATTCAGCACACTACGCTCCAAAAATACACGACATCAAAAGGCCATCCGTGATGCGTTCAAGAAACACTGAACATTTCATACCTGCACAAATACAAGCGAGTGATTGTTTTGGGTATGATAGGGGGAGTGGTAAACAAAAATGTAAGTAAACAGTAGTAAATTCAGCCAGAAACTGTGTGTGTTTTCGCGTAGCCCAATTATGGCATGCTATTATTTAAGAATCTGAGCAAGCTGTTTTAAACAGCCACACCTACAAAAAGAGTTGGAATGTTTTCCCTTTGACAGAAGGAAGGGGTATAGACAGTATTGCACAACTTGTTCTTGCACCAGTGATTTATTTGTGCAGTAATATTTTCCACTATTCAAAATATTGAACACAGTGTTCTGTTCTTCTAAAGACCATTTTTGTCCAACGTTTTTTCTCCTGGGCTGGAGAATGACTTGCACTTTTGTTCTCATGAATTAGTTGCACTGCCTCCTAAAACCTCAAAAGCTGAGGTTCAGTTTATTTTGTACCATTTGCAGGACATTTTACAAGCAAAACAAATTTGTTTTATTTCAGTTAGAACAACTAGACATTGACACCAGCATTCTAGACCTACCTGGTGAATATTCTCATATAAATTCATCTCAACAAACAAGAAAGCTCATATGGCCTACAGTATGCAGGCAATCAAAATAAACTTGAAAAACTGCTTTGCTTTTTGTTAGTTGGTGAGAAGGTGGCTGTTAACAAGATAGGTGGCATTCCTCCTGCAAACACTGTGCTGCCTGAAACTGCTTGCACCTTATAGGAGCAGCAGCTGATCAGAACAGAGCAATATGGTGAGCAGTATTATATGTGTAACATCTTTTGGCTTGTTGCTTTGCAGTTTGTCATCATGACTGAAAACAATAGACTAACCACGATGAAAAGGACCTCTGCTGCTTATTTGACTTTTTTGTCAGGTTAGTATGATACATTTGTATTTACAATTTATATAAATTTAGCTATATAACGTTTGACTAAACATAACATGATGAAAAAGAAATATTTTTTCTGTACTTCCACAGTTTTTTGCTTTTTCACACTGGGATCTTCAGACTTTCACCATATTACTCTCACTGAGAACTACACACAAGCCAAGAGTTATTGCAGAGATATGTACACTGATTTAGCAACAATTTACAACTTAGAAGATATGAATAATCTGGTTTCTTTAGCTTCAAATATAACTGAAAACACTTGGATAGGACTGGAGATCGGAGCTGTGTGGATGTGGCATTGGTCTTTGCCTGGTCAATTAACAGATTTTTTTAAGTGGAAATCAGGAGAAGTAATAACAAATAATCAAGAAGAATGTGCAGCATTGGATCAATTTGGTGGGTGGTTTGTCAGTGCCTGTGGAGTTCTAAGAAAGTTTGTTTGTCAAGGTAAGTAAAATTACAATCATTTATTTCAGAGATCAATAATAACAATAATACTAATAATAATACATTTAATTACATTACAGGGACACATACTGGTGATTTCATTTTTGTTAATGAGTCCAAATCGTGGTGGGATGCTCAGAGTCATTGCAGGGGCTTGCCATCTGATCTAGTTAGCATACACTCTGAAGCAGAGAATATGGCAGTGCTCAACGTGTCTGCATCACAAACTGTCTGGATTGGGCTGTTCAAAGATCCCTGGAAATGGTCGGATGGAAGTAACTCATCTTTTCGTTTCTGGAGAGCTTCTCAGCCCAGCTATCTTTCAAATCAGGATTGTGTTGCTGCGGTATTTCAAGATAATGGGAAGTGGAATAAGCAAAGCTGCAGTAACCAACTCAATTTTGTTTGCCATGGGGGTAAGTTTGTGTTATTTATTTATAAATTGTATGTATTTACTATGTCAGCAAAATTATATTATAACTTTTTGTTTTCTATTACACAAGACACAACAATCTATATCTGTCCACTCATTACTCACTTTTACATCAGGGAAATCATTTTCAACACTGCCATTCACAATAGACAGTGACCTGTAATTGAGACAAATGTACTTCAAATTAATTTGATTGCAGCTGCTGCTACCAAACAGTCAAGCACCATTACCACAACAGAAGGAACAGCTGCAGGTGGAGTGAGAACACCAAATACCACAGAGTTTATGTCACCTACATCAAGTACTCCTCTCCAAAGTACAACTACAGAAATGTCATCTTTGACACAGCCACCTCCTGCAACTACTGTGAATTTAACTACAGGTGGTGACTCTATATTAACAACCCCGGGAGGAATTTCAGCCCAGATCTCAACAACACAGACAGGGATTTCAGTCCCAAACACCACAGAACATATAGAGATTTCATCCCAGAACACTGCAATACAGAAAGAGACTTCAGCCCAGAACACTACAGCATACATAGGGACTTCAGCCCAGAACACTACAGCATACATAGAGACTTCAACCCCAAACACTACAGCATACATAGGGACTT